AGTGAAACAAAAACTAACACGGCCATGTGTAGTTTCTAGTCAGTGGCTGGTGTGCTGACTGTAGTACAACTACATAACTTTCTGTTGCTGTCAGGACCAGAGTTAAGTCGATGACCCCATTTCGATCCCACCAGCTTAAAAAAAAAAACAAGTAAAACAACCACAAGTTTCTCAAAAGTTCTCTCCTCAAATTCGAATAAAACTGGATTTAAAGTTGACGAAAGTAAACAAGATCCACTTACCGATCAGTTAACTTGAAACAGGCCGCAAAAAAAACAAGTATATTCTGGTAATTAATCCATGAGAAGCGAGTCTAGTAGAGCGTTTACGGGAAATCTTCGACCATGTTTGTTTCTCGTCTGCTTGAATGATGATAGCTTTAGCGGCACGCTTCAGCGCATGCGCAGTGCTGAAGCTAGCAGAAACCCGGGAGGCTACAAGATTTCGGTAAAGATTAGCACTCATTTGAGAAGAATTTTTTTTACTGGCGGTACCTAATGGTAGCAGCAGTACCTGCACCCACACCCCCAACTGGAGCATAGACACACAACAAACTCATTCGAAATTCTCCTATGTTTTGCTATCACGCAGCAGTAATTTTTCAACAATATCCTGTTTAACCCTCAGTGTTATTTGTGGGATATTTGCTTTCACGAGCTCATGGCATGTCTCTATCTTTTTAACTTCACGATCTAGCTCCCAACTTTATGTTTTTGTTTCCATGTGGGTTCCAATGTAAAGACTGTATATCGTTTCCAGGTTTTCTCCACGTGTGTCCTGCTATCCAGCGCCAGCGTCTTTCCTTCACCTCTTGATTAACTGCAATCCCCCCCTCCCCTAACCGCACCCTCCTCCTCCAACAGGCGGTAAGCGCTCTGAATGAGAAGAAAGCATTCGAAAATCGCACCTAACCTGCGTAACCTGGATCTACACACGGGGTTATGCGGGCGTAAAGGGAAATGAGCGAGCGTACCAACTGGCAAGCACTACACTAAGGATTGCCGGAAAAAGCATGGACAGAGCAGATATCGTCAACGCTGTACTGACTGGGCTAGTGGATAATGAGGAACCCCTGACACTAACACGATCGCGTGACATGGGAGTAAAGCATGGTGAAGCACGTCTTTGCCGTATTTGAGGCCGAGATAGGAAACAATATAACTAGCTTCTCATGGGAACAATTAGTAGAAGTACTTTGGATTGGCTGCTGCATCTGAGGACTGAGCATGCATGGGAATGCCCGATGTGCAGTGACGTCGATTGTGATAACATAAAATAACATAACATCTTTTAGGGAGTGGGCAGTCCGAAACCCAAGTTCAAGGTGTCTCCTTCGTGCCAAAGAAATGCATGGCTGTTGGGTGAACAGTCGTTAACAAAGGCAGTCAGGTCGTTGTAGGGGCGACGCTTGCTGGTGGATGTAATGTCCTAAGTTCCATCCCCAGCTAATAGTGAGGGTATTGTTGGGGAGGCCGTTATTAACCTTCACATAATGATTAAGGTCAAAATGGACGCTAGGCACGGCCACTTTTTTTATTTACCCGTGGCAAATTTTATTGCTTCTGCCATACGGTTGCCGTTGCATTTTTGCTCGATTTGTAGACTGGAAGGATATAGCTTCGTTGCCCAGCTTCTTAGCTGAGTGCATGGCGTGACACTGCGAGCTGTGGATTTAATTTGAACTGTGAAAAACATTTTGTGTGTTTTTCGTTGGCACAGGAGCGGATCAACTATGGGGTGACCCGTTTGCTATGAAGCTGAAACTAATATTACAGATTACCAGGCCTTATTAGGTTTCATAGTCTTCGCGGAATGGCTAACGCAGTCAACAAATGAGTGCAGAAATCGGATTCGTCAGCCGAAAGGAGAAAATATCTCTATGCTGTAAAAGGTTACAACACAATTACATCTTCGGATGAACGTAGAAGAAGAAGATTTCAAAGTATTAGACACTTTTAATGTGTTAATGGCTAATGGCAAAAATATCACGTTAGAATTTCTATTATAGAAGCAATGGTATCGACTAAATGCTATTTGTAGCAGCTGTAATCGATTCATCCTAAACGTTTGTGTGTGCTCTTTGAGAAGGCAAAAAGGGGTCGGGAGGTGGGGATAACTTACTCGAGATTCAGCTCAAAATAGTGGGATGTCCCATTTTCAGCTTAAGATATTGTGGTCACCCTAGCTAACATGGAATCTGAATTAGCCTGTGTACCAAACAGCTTGAGTGAAGTTAGAAGAGGCCACATTGCTTACCTCTCTGTTAGCAGCATACAGTGTTGGAGTACACGCAGTTTCTTTCAAAAACTGAGTGTGTTACACTCTCGAAGTTAACTATCAATCTGATTGGGGACCTAAACAGTGTGATCAAACTGTGAGCTGCGTTTGTTTTTTGTTGGCACAGGAGCGGAGCATATGTGGGGTGACCCGTTTGCTATGAAGCTGAAACTAGGATTACCAGATTACCAGATCAAAGAATGATAGAAGAAGGAGAAGGAGAAGAAGAAACAGACGATCCTCCTTGAATGTTGAATTAAGAATCGACATCACAGCACTTGAGACACTCCCATAAATGCTCCGTCCCCATCCAGCAGCAAACGAAGAGTTCCAATTATGATGGCACCAGTAGCCGTCTGATTGTATATCCGTCTCATCCTTCCCCTGAGTGTTGAGCGTCAGCCAGATCACCTGCTATTTCCTCGCAGCGCCATTCTGCTCAGACCCTAATTATCTATCTGCGCATCCGGACTGTCACTCGTTGCTCGAGGGCTCTCACAATACCTAGCTTGTCATACATCAATTCCCCACTAAGTGGTGCTGAGGTGGTCAGTCTATCTGCCTGCTCATTTCTCAACACACCGGCATGACCTTGAGAAAATATCCAAAGGATGCTAACTACACGAGACCTCTGAAGTAATGCTTGTCACTCAGCACGCCTGTTTTGCCCTTTCTCAACATGTGAATCAGTTACAATCATGGCATGTGTATACAGTTGAGTTGAGTCAAGAATTGACATCACACCACTTAGGGCATTCCATGCATGCTCTATCCTCATCTTCAGCAGCCAGCACAGAGTTCCAATACTGATGCTATCGGTCACAATCTGGTTAAAAGTCTGTCTTGCCTTTCCTCTGCGTGTAGTGAGTAGGCCAGACCCTCTGGTCACACCCAGGTGCCTCGTTCTCCCCAGGCCATAATAATCTTCTTTCTCTACTCATTCCGTTGCTTGTTCCCAAAGGGACTTGACTATATCTGCCTTGTCATGTATCAATTTACCACCCAGTGGTGCGGATCCAGCCAATATGTCTGCCTGTTCATTACCCACCACGCTGGCATAAAGAAAGTAAAAAGTAAAGATCCCTTATTACGCCTAAGGGGCATGGGGTATATGGGCAGAGCGTCCCATATTTTTACAGACCAATCGGCACTGGATGGGGTAATGTGGTCAACATTACGCCGGCCGTCTTTACTTCCCTAGGACAGCCATCCTGGTACCCATTTGAGGCTGGGTCGACCTGCGACGTCCCATACCACGATAAAAATCCACATAGCCCGCAGTGGGTTTCGATCGAGCGGCCTGGAGAAAAGATCCAAAGTATGCTCACCACCCGTGACCTTTCCAGTGAAGATAGCCACTCTGCTCGAAGCATCCCATCTTCACCTTTTTCAGCATGCTTTCAGAGTCTGTTACATTACGACATGTGTATGCATCTTGTTCTCTAGCCACCGGAGAGCTGCAGTTACCGCCTCAAACTCCATTCTCAAGCTAGGCTGTCTTACACTTAAGATTTTCCATTGGCTTTCGCTCAGCTCAGCTGATTCTCAAGCCAGCAGAGACTGCATCCACCTCCATTCCTAAACTAGACATTGTGATATTACATGCAAGGCTTTGCTGCAATAAGCGACGTCCATTCAATTTTGCTATGAAACCCCATGCACTTCATCTGCCCCTCAACACAGAACCTCCTTGCTAAGATGACTAATGAGGATTTTCCAGTTCCTGATTTTTTTGGGGAACGGGGACGACACACATAGGCAAATCGATCATGTTGAGTCTATGGATTGGCTGAGATTTGTGTCTGGACTGATGGTTTAGTTTTCCCCATGTGTGTGTATTTTTATCGCTACTCGTCTGGGTCTCATATTGCTGATTATACCTCCTGCGTTCTCGCTGTGCTAGGTATACTTCTTGTTACTTCATGTCAGGGTAGGTGTCCTTTGGCTTGTCCCTGTTTCTTGCTATGTAGTTCAGTCCTGTTAATGACCGATGCTCGCAGAGAACATCACAAAAGAACCATGGCTGTCCCAATACAACACCACGCTGTACCACTGATCTTTTTGTTTTAAGTTTCTGAGTGTTTAAAGTGCCAAAAGTACTAACTGTTGAGGTGGAAGCAGATTATATTTATACTGCTTCCTCTCACAACCACACACACACGTTTATCTTTTAAAACCATACACAAACACCTACATCTTCCTGCCCCAACCACACACTAACACCTACATTTGCTTGTCCCAACCACACAAAATCACCTACTTCTTTCTTCACCACACAAAATCCTGCATCTTCCTCTCCCAAGCACGCAATAACGTTTACATCTTCCTCTCATAACCACACACAAACATCTACATCTTCCTGTCCCAACCAGACACAAAAAATGACACCCTTGTCTCCAACGACAAACAAACGTCTAGATCTTTGACCAGTTGCCGAAGAGAACATGCTGATGAAATGTAATGAATACAGATTAAGAGGTAGACAACACAAAATAAGCAGCAATGGCATCAAGAACAGGCTCAAAAAAAAAAAAAAAGATTATTTCAAACAACACATCAGAAAGAGCACATATGAAACTCTTACATGTTCTTCCCTCCATTTTTTTTTTTTTTTAAATGAGGTAAATGAAGGAAAAGAAGAAGTCATAGATAAAACAATAAAGCCAACTGATCAATAAATAAATTTTCTTTACTCTCAAAATAAAACACACAAAAACATGTTCTCAATTCATCATCTCTAAAACCAGTTCATTTAGCTGAATGGAACCATCAAATGTCATGGAGAGAAACCTTTCAGCAGCTTTTGCACTAACAGTTCTCAAGGCAGGCAGTCGCAGTAGGATCTTTCCGAGTCTCTTAACATCATGTGGGTATTCGTGTAAAATATGCCGCCGGAGACATTCCAGAATCTTTGACTGCATCTCAGCAATTTTGGTTTTGTCCTGAATGCCATGTGCATCTGTTGAGAAAGAACGATTTAACATTTTTATGATCGGAAAAGATTTTATATTTTGATAATTAGTGGCTATTTAACATTTGGAAAAAACAATGAAGATTTAGCAATCTGACTGACATTAAACTTATGGCTGTACCGAAAATGCGCTTCATATTCGCTTCGGGGCCGAATAGTTGACATATTGACTATTCGGTATTCGGCCAAATAGCTGTGGTCGGGCCGAATACGAATAGTGGTTACCTTACACCCGCTTATGCAAACACGGCCTTAATACTGACAAGATGGAACGATTGGCTTTCCTGCATTAACTAAGCTGTCAGTGACTATTTCCAAGTTTAGTTTCTTGTTATAATACTTAGGATTCTTTCATTCCTAGTTATTAGTTACCACAGACTGACTGAAGGATGCAAAACATAAAATAATTTTAAATGTTTACTACCACATCCAAGTCGATAATTTGAAAATCAAACAAACGGAAACATTTAAGTACTTGGGTGCAAACTTCTACTGCTCCAACATGCTGAGAGGAGAAATACAATCTAGAATAGAATCTAGAAATAAAGTATACTATGTCCTTCAACATCTGCTAAAGCCAAAGTGTCTGTCTCGCAACACCAAGATCAAAATATAAAATGTTGAAAAGACCTGTCGTTTTATATGACTGAAACTTGAAACAGAAATAAAAGAGATGAGGCCTTATTACAGGTTTTCGAAAACAGTCTTACGACAAATCTTTGGACCCATTAAGGATGCTAACAGCGGGGAATGGAGAGTGAAAAGCAACAACGTAACATATAATCTGCTTAAATCACCACTGATCACTGGCATCATGAGAGCTAACAGACTGAAATGGTTGGGGCATGTTGAAAAAATGTCAGATGACAGAGAAGTAAAACGGTATACACCTGAGAGAGGAATAGGCCTAGACCACGCGGCAGACAAAAAAGAAGTTCGAGAGATAATGTCCAGCCAGACTTGCAAACAACTGGTGTCACAAATTGTGAAAAAAAAGACCAGCAAGAGAGATGAATGGAGACGAGTGATATCTGCAGCAGTAAACCTCAAGAGCTCAGAATGCTAAAGAAGAAGATGACTATTCTGCGCTACTTTATGTGAAGTAAAGGTTCAGCGTACATTTGACATTGTGAATGTTTTTTAGATATATTTTATACACTACACACTATTCCTATTCGTGTTCGTATTCGGCCGAATAGTTGGTCCAGTTATTCGTATTCGACGGAATAGTGAAAATCGCTATTCGGTTCAGCCCTAGTTTGAATTACATCGAATGAACGGTCGAGCGAATGATGGTTTTGAAAGAGGCGGGAGTGGTGACCACTGGAAAGATCTGTGGAAGGAGGAATAGAGAAGACAACGATAGAAGATTCTTGACAGTCTTGTTGCATGGCATGGAGGTGTGTCAGCACACGAACTAATACATGCTGCAGGAGATCACAGATTGTGGCGGGACATAATCGCCCACGCCAGTCGGCAAGGCACCTAATGATGATGATACACTATTAGTATTCGGCCGAATAGTTGGTCGCACTATTCGTATTCGGCCGAATAGTGAAAATCACTATTCGGTACAACCCTAATTAAAATATTATATTTGAGGATTGTCAATAAAGATTTCATGTTTTGACCTGAGGCAAAGAATTAATGTGAGTGAAGATTCAATTATGATGAGAGGTCACTGGTGTCAGAGAATTAAATCCAGGATAGCAAAATGACTGCTCCCCGAGTGCGTTCCGGGGCCCCAGTGTGGGGGAAAACAATAGACCAATTGCATACCCATAAGCATGTCGTAAGAGTCGACTAATTTTGCGCCTTTTTCTAAGTCGGCTGCATTGGCCTGAGAGGCAAAGAAACCAACAGCCTGCTTACACATCAGTCAGATCTGTGAAACAAAGGTGCATGTAACAGTCAGGTTCTGGAACAGGACTAGAGTCCAGAAATCAAGGAACAACCAGAACCTTCCACCAGAGTTTACAGCCAGTGAATGGGAAGAAGAAGAAAAGGACTGCAGAGAACAGAACGAAACTGAGGAATTGACTGCAAGCCATCTGTGATGTATAATCAGTACAATAAGATGATACTGAATTTTAGGGCCTCTAATAATTTAGCACAGTGGTTCCAAAGCAGATTCGCAGACCCCTATTATTTGTGAAGGTCTGCTAGGACCCTAAACTGTTTAATAATCATACTGAAGAACTAGTTATAATCTTCTTCTTCTTCACGTTCACCAGCTGTAAACTCTGGCGGAAGGTTCTGGTTGCTCGTCCACTACTGAACTGCAGTCCTGCTCCAGAACCTGAGTGTTGCGTGTGCATCAGTTTTACAGATCTCATTCTCTTGAATACAGACTGTTGGTTCCTTGCCTCTCCGGCAGATGCACTCCGACTTCAAAGGAAGCTTCCCAATTAGTCGACTCTTACGACATGCTTTTGGGGAGGCAGTGGGTCTATTCTTGTTTTCCCCACAATGGGGCCCCGGAACCCACACGGGGGACTAGTTATAATGATAAATACTATAATATGAATTCAAAAGGAGTGAAGAAGTAAGAGAAATGTCAGGTCAACCACTAGTATCAACAGTTATAAGACAGAGAAGATGGGGCTACACTGGATTCATCCTAAGAAGAAACCAGCAAAGAATCACCTAACAAGCATTCAAATAGGAAATAAAAGAATTATGGAGATGAGGACGCCCAAAAGAAACCCTAAGACAAATGTGGATGAGGGAGGCCAAAGCTGCTGGATGGAATTCCATCCATGATACTGAACTGACTGCACAGGATAGAACGGAATGGACTGTAAGCCATATGTGACGTATAATGGAACACCAGGATAATGACTGAATAATCACAAAAGTAATGCTTTCTAAAGTGGGGGGTTATTTTGTCAATGATACATGAGCCTCTTAAATTTGTTCTGCGGACCCGTAGGGGTCTGCTGACCACCAAACGGGAGACACTGATTTAGGAGATCACACATTCTATTCCTTTACAAGAAGATGTAAAAGACCTAGTTTATTTATAATAAAAACAAGTTAAAAGTCACACATGCAAGCGATAGACAGAGGGAATATCAGAGGCCATAAATACAAGCATGTACACACACTATGGCTCGCTCAAGACACCTCTTGAAAACTGGCGCTGAAAGGCACAACATGATCTAGACTAAAGAATAATTATCATTTTGTCCCAAAGAATGTATTTCGTCCAAGTTATGCTCCATGTGTACCAGTATATAACACCATCGTCTGGAAAGACGGAAATGTGCCAATCACCAGTATGTGATTGGCTATTCTCCATGTGTACCAGCATGTGATTGGCTATTCTCCGTGTGTTCCAGTATGTGACTGGCTATTCTCCATGTGTACCAGTATGTGATTGGCTATTCTCCATGTGTTCCAGTATGTGATTGGCTATTCTCCATGTGTACCTGTATGTGATTGGCTATTCTCCATGTGTACCAGTATGTGATTGGCTATTCTCCATGTGTACCAGCATGTGACTGGCTATTCTCCATGTGTACCAGTATGTGATTGGCTATTCTCCATGTGTACCAGTATGCGATTAGCTATTCTCCATGTGTACCAGTATGTGATTGGCTATTCTCCATGTGTACCAGTATGTTATTGGCTATTCTCCATGTGTTCCAGTATGTGATTGGTTATTCTCCATGTGTACTAGCATGTGATTGGCTATTCTCCATGTGTACCAGTATGTGAATCCTGATATGCATACTATTCACCCCATTCTCATAATGTGGCCAAGCCATTTGCCTCTTCTCTTGGTTATACTGTCTAAAGTTTCTTGGTTTGTGACTTGAAGTAGTTTAGTGTTTACCAGCATGTGATTGGCTATTTTCCATGTGTTCCAGTATGTGATTGGCTATTTTCCATGTGTTCCAGTATGTGATTGGCTATTTTCCATGTGTACCAGCATGTGATTGGCTATTCTTCATGTGTACCAGTATGTGATTTGCTATTCTCCATGTATGTACCATTATGTGACTGGCTGGCTACTCCTTATATGTACCAAAATGTAATTGACTATTATCCATTTGTACGAAAATGTTATTTGACTCTTCTCCAAATGTCATCATCATCATTAATTCTCTTTATGCCTAGTGGCACATAAGACTTCAGAGAGGACTTTTGATGCTCTCCTGTTCTGTGCAATCTATAGCGCAGTTTTCCATGTCAGAGATGCAGCATTCGGGTCACTCTCTATTGTTTCCCTCCATGTTGTTTTTTGGGCGCCCCTTCTTTCTCTTTCCCTCAGGTATCCACGTGAGAGCTGTTTTGGCAGGCATATCAGGATTCATTCTCATAATGTGGCCAAGCCATTTTCATCTTCTCTTAGTTATACTGTCTAGAATTTCTTGGTTTGTGACTTGAAGTAGTTTAGTGTTTGAGATTGTATCTGGCCAGAAAACATTGATAATTCTACAAAGACATGTGTGGTGGAAGGTGGATAGCTCATATGCATCCCATTTGGTGGTCCTTCTCCAGTACTCCGCTCCATAAAGAAGAACTGGGAAAATGATGCTCTTGTAGAGTCGAAGTTTCGTTCTTCATCAGTAACTGTTAGATTTCCAGATTTGTCTCATCCTTCCAAAAGCAACTCTAGCTTTGTTCCTTTGTTCAGGTGTGACTGTATGTCTTCCTCTGTACCCCCCCCCCCCCAGTAGGGACACCACACTACCAAGATATGTGAAATGTTCTACATTTTCAAGTGTTTGGTTATATATGGCCACTGGTTTGGACTGTTTGTCATGTTTTCCTTGTATTTATTCTCAGTCACACCATTTCTGCTGTGCTGTGTAGTCTTTTACTTTTCTCTTGTATATGTTCATGTTTATGTGATAGGAGTGCTATATCATCTGCAAAATCAAGGTAATCAAGCATGGTGAACAAAGTCCATTATATCTCTCGATGTCCTGTCTACTGTGTTCTTTAGTATCCAATTTCTCCATATGTACCAAAATATAATTTACTATTCTCCATGTGCACCTTATGTGATTAGCTGGCTACTCTTTATGTGTACCAATATGTGACTGGCAACTCTCCATGCTGTTTCTTTATGTGTCCCAATATCTAATCGGGCTCCTATACTTACCAGGGTACATGAGAACAATCCCATTGAGCACGCAGAACTCTGTCAGGTCCAAACTGATCTCCTTCAACCTTTGAGCAAAGTCAATGGTGCCGTCGACGAGTTCTTTCCCCCAGCCCACACTCTCACAATACTCCAGGGGAAGGATGATGTCTTCACAAAACTTGATTTTGTTATCCAGACCCATAGATCTGGAGAGGAAGAGAACTGTATCGTGCAGGTCATATCATTTATGTAATATCTCTAAGGGGAGGTGGGAGTAGTGCAGAGGATAAATGTGTGTCTGCTGATATGAAGATCTTCAGTTCAAATCTGCACTGTGAGTTTTCACATACTATAAAACCTGGTTGATTCCAAGGGATAAAAATATCAAGAGTTCACTTTGAAAAAAAAAAAAGACTAACCAGGGACTAACAACATTACATCCCAAACTGAGCTAACCAGGGACTAACAACATTACATCCCAAACTGGGCTAACCAAGGACTAACAACATTACATCCCAAACAGACCTAACCAGGGACTAACAACATTACATCCCAAACAGGACCAACCAGGGACTAACAACATTACATCCAAAACTGGGCCAACCAGGGACTAACAACATTACATCCCAAACTGGGCTAACCAGGGACTAACAACATTACATCCCAAACTGGGCTAACAACATTACATACCAAAATGGGCTAACCAGGGACTAACAACATTACATCCCAAACTGGGCTAACCAAGGACTAACAACATTACATCCCAAACAGACCTAACCAGGGACTAACAACATTACATCCCAAACAGGACTAACCAGGGACTAACAACATTACATCCCAAACTGGGCCAACCAGGGACTAACAACATTACATCCAAAACTGGGCCAACCAGGGACTAACAACATTACATCCCAAACTGGGCTAACCAGGGACTAACAACATTACATCCCAAACTGGGCTAACAACATTACATACCAAAATGGGCTAACCAGGGACTAACAACATTACATCCCAAACAGGACTAACCAGGGACTAACAACATTACATCCCAAACTGGGCTAACCAGGGACTAACAACATTACATCCCAAACTGGGCCAACCAGGGACTAACAACATTACATCCAAAACTGGGCCAACCAGGGACTAACAACATTACATCCCAAACTGGGCTAACCAGGGACTAACAACATTACATCCCAAACTGGGCTAACAACATTACATACCAAAATGGGCTAACCAGGGACTAACAACATTACATCCCAAACTGAGCTAACCAGGGACTAACAACATTATATCTCAAACTGGGCTAACCAGGGACTAACAACGTTACATCCCAAACTGGGCTAACCAGGGACTAACAACATTACATCCCAAACTGGGCTAACCAGGGACTAATAACATTATATCCCAAACTGGGCTAACCAGGGACTAACAACATTATATCCCAAACTGGGCTAACCAGGGACTAACAACATTACATCCAAAACTGGGCTAACCAGGAACTAATAACATTATATCCCAAACTGGGCTAACCAGGGACTAATAACATTATATCCCAAACTGGGCTAACCAGGGACTAACAACATTACATCCAAAACTGGGCTAACCAGGGACTAATAACATTATATCCCAAACTGGGCTAACCAGGGACTAATAACATTACATCCCAAACTGGGCTAACCAGGGACTAACAACATTACATCCCAAACTGGGCTAACCAGGGACTAACAACATTACATCCCAAACTGGGCTAACCAGGGACTAACAACATTACATCCCAAACTGAGCTAACCAGGGACTAACAACATTACATCCCAAACTGGGCTAACCAGGGACTAATAACATTACATCCCAAACTGAGCTAACCAGGGACTAACAACATTACATCCCAAACTGAGCTAACCAGGGACTAACAAAATTACATCCCAAACTGAGCTAACCAGGGACTAACAACATTACATCCCAAACTGAGCTAACCAGGGACTAACAACATTACATCCCAAAATGGGCTAACCAGGGACTAATAACATTACATCCCAAACTGAGCTAACCAGGGACTAACAACATTATATCCCAAACTGAGCTAACCAGGGACTAACAACATTACATCCCAAACTGAGCTAACCAGGGACTAACAACATTACATCCCAAAATGGGCTAACCAGGGACTAATAACATTACATCCCAAACTGAGCTAACCAGGGACTAACAACATTACATCCCAAACTGAGCTAACCAGGGACTAACAACATTATATCTCAAACTGGGCTAACCAGGGATTAACAACATTACATCCCAAACTGAGCTAACCAGGGACTAACAACATTACATCCAAAACTGGGCTAACCAGGGACTAACAACATTATATCTCAAACTGGGACTAACATTTTCTTCATATTAACAAGGTTTTCCTGTAACTAACCTTGACACTTAGGTCAAATCAGCACAAAAATCATTAGCATTATCAAGTGCCTTGCCAGCTGGCATAGGTATTCATGCATCTCCACAGATATCTGTCTCTGGTGTTCTGGATCAATTCTACAGATGATATTCCTCCATGCCACTATCTTAAGCCACCCACCATCATTTCTCTTGGTCTGCCTCTGCCTCTTCTACCAGTGATCTTTCCAGTCCTCACAATATTTTATAGTGCTCCTTTTCTTATCTCATGACCAAAAAACTTGGTCTCCTTCTCATTGTTGTATATAATTTTCTACTTACATTAGCCATAAAATGGGTACCGTGAAATGTCTTCAGAAGAAAAGGTGGCCAGGTCATTGCTGCCCGCATCACCCATCTTCATGTACTAGATCTGTCAGAATGTCACTTTCATGAGAGTCTGTATGAATGACACTCTCGTTTTCACATCAGATCTTCATGGTATAGAACCAGTGTTGTTTGTTGCTGTGGCTACATTCTAATGAGTACTTTACTTGAACCCCCCCCCCCCCCTCCATACCCTTGCAAAAACAAAAACAAAAACCCATGTAAAGCACAATGCCATTTATGGTCCTTGCAACATAAAATGACAGATTTCCACATTGCACAAAGGAGACTAAACACTTACCACATGTGCCTAGAATTCATTGATCACTTGCAGCAATGTAGACTTCTTCTTAGCGTTCACCAGTTGTAAACTCCAATGTATGTATGTATTTAAATTGTACCCCACCAGAACATCACACAAGCGATAATCACCCGGTGACACAAAGTGCCACCATGTGAATGGGGATCACCCGTGGAGAGGTCTCAGAACCCCTGTTCAGCCGTCAGGCCATATTTCAGGCCCGGCTATATTCAGGGCCCCCCGGCAAAAGCCAGGGTGGGGCTTCACAATTACTAAAAACTGCATCCCACAAGGGGATGATGAGATTATAATAAAAAAAACTTTAGTGGAAAGCTCTGGTTGTTGGTCCACTCCTGGACACTGATCTTGATCTAGAACTCGAATTTTGCATCCGTTTTACAGATCTGGTTTATTTGTATACAGACTGTTGGATCCTTGCTCTTAGGCATATGCACTCTGACTTAGGAGACCCCTCCCTACCTCTTATGACTCACTTGTTAGGGAAGCAGTAACCTATCTGTTCTCCAAAATGGAACCACGGAGCCCACATGGCAGAATCTACCAGCAGCAACGTAGACATTTACCTGTAAGATAACCGCAGGACATTTAACTCCATGAAGGAAGATTTCAATAAGGCCATCTGGTCAGAGAAGTCCAGATCGGCAAAACCTGTCATAGAAATGAAACTGGGTAACTGATATGTAACACAAATATAATGAGAATTCTGACAAAGCTAAAATCCAAGATGCCAGAGTTACCTCCTTCTATTTTCAGGCTTGGTTGAACCACACCATTAAAAAAAAAAACACCGGGACTGAACTGCCAACACAGTTTCATTTGAACTCCTAGGGGATTTAACTGCCCTCACAGTATGATCTCCAATCCCAGAGTTATGGCCCCTGGTACCCCACAGGTGGTATTTATTCCCCCAGCCCACTCGTGTGGGCATTCTGCTGAGAATCTATCGACCCGGCTGCTTTGAGATACCAGCTAAGTGATTTTTTTGTATTTGTGTAGTATTGTTTGATTTGTATGTGCTGATTAAGGCTTTATAGCCGCAACCTTCACGTTTTGTTTGTATTTGTTATATTGTAGTTGTTAATATACTTTTTGTTCGGTTTTATATCTTTTCATTAAAAAAAAAACCCAACCCCAAAGTGTATGTTCTGTATGTGAAAAAAAAAGTGTCCAAAGTGCCAAACTGGACCCTATCCATGACACTAAAACCACCGCACAGGACAGAATGGACTGAAAGAACAAACTGTGATGCCAGAGGGAGACCAGTCAAGTACCTATAAAGTAATGGACCCTTTTCCATGCCCTTCGGCATACTGGGTGTATAGTGCTATACCTATATTTTATAACTAATCAGCACTTGGTGGGTGAGGTGGTCAATATCATACTGGCCACCTTTACTTCCCAGGACTTTACCTCATACTCATATTAGGCTTGTCAACCTGGAAACTAAAGCAATTTCTTGAGAAAAAATCTGACAATGTGGATCTGAACCCATACCCTTTGGACCTATAGATGAGTGTCTAGCAGCTACATTACAGCGGCTCCCAGTGGTTAGTACACATAATACTTGTTTATTTTCAGCTTTAGTCTGATTCTTTCTGTAATATAACTGCTAAGTTGAACCAGTCTTGACCTAGTTAATGACTTGCAGAAGTGTGGTCACCTGAGACATGACCATAAGTTCTTTGTCTCAGTCAAAATTATATAGTCTCAAGGACCGGATAACTGACTGCCCACATCAGAAAGAGTCATCCACATTCTTCGGTCATAGGATGAGAAGGAGAAAACTGGAGTACATGGTAGGTAACAGTAGGAAAGGTCGAGGGGAGGAGAGGCAAAGGAAGGCCGAGAGAAAAAGATGCTGGACAAAATGACAGGATGGCATGGAGGATCATCTGTGTCAGAGTTGACTGAAAGAAGATGAGACAGACCGTTGTTAATAGACATGATTATCAATGCCACATGGCATGGGCTTCAAGAAAAAAGACCGGGTGGCTTTCAGGTGAGCACACTTAGCGATACAATTAAAAGCAGCATGAGGAGTAACAAACTGCAATCTACTGCTCAATGGTTAGCATTGAATGTTGTGATTTTGTGTGGATGCAATATGTCCTTAATGTCATCAATCCCGTTTTCTCCTTGGCTGCCTCTTGCTTTCAAATCAGATCTCTTTAGGTGTGCCTGTGTTTGTAGTTGTTGCCGCTGCGTTTGAAAGTCATGACCAAATCACTGGATCGTCTGCTTCTCAGTGAATCTTGTGCAAAGTGTTACTCCCTCAATCTGTCTTTTCTCACTTGATCTTGGATAGTTAAGTTCGCAGCTTTCCTCTGACCTCTCATAGGTGTCAATTTTACGTCGGTTATCTTTCCAAAATATCCAAGTTTGGCACTGGTAGCACAGTGTGATTAGATACTACTCACAAATAGACTGAGCATACTAAAGTCCACTTCTGTGTGCATAGAGAGTTCCTCAATGAAACTGCTTAAGAAAATTCAGACTGGCTTCATCAGATAAGAATAGACTGCTGGGCTCTGCAGATGTTCGAGGCAACAAGCATGCATATTAGCTAGCGATAGTGCTGTTACTATGATGGTTTGGCAATGGGCAGGAGCTATGTCTTCAATGACATGTGGCTTGCCTATTGCAAAGATAATTATGACAGCAGGCATGATTTAGTATTCCTGGAAACAGGAGCCCCTACGGATCTCTCCAGAGTGATGTTCTGATAGTCTCCATTAATCATTAACAAATAGACTTGGTACATACTTAGCACATTCATCAACAAATCCAACTTTACTCATTTCTTTCTTTACCCGATCAATGATGACAAACACGAGTCTACTGGTATTTTTGTCTTCAATTTACAAGTACTATCTTGCTCAGTTTATGTATTCAATTCACCCAGTACTATTTCTGCCCACTTTATATCTTCAATAAACCCAGTACTATCTCTGCCCACTTTATATCTTCAATAAACCCAGTACTATCTCTGCCCACTTTATATCTTCAATTCACCCAGTACTATCTCTGCCCACTTTATATCTTCAATAAACCCAGTACTATCTCTGCCCACTTTATATCTTCAATAAACCCAGTACTATCTCTGCCCACTTTATATCTTCAATAAACCCAGTACTATCTCTGCCCACTTTATATCTTCAATTAACCCAGTACTATCTCTGCCCACTTTATATCTTCAATTAACCCAGTACTATCTCTGCCCACTTTATATCTTCAATTAACCCAGTACTATCTCTGCCCACTTTATATCTTCAATAAACCCAGTACTATCTCTGCCCACTTTGTCTTCAGTTCGCCCAGTACTTTCCCTTCAATTTACCCAGTACTATCTCTGCTCCTTCAATTCACCCAGTATTACCTTTACCCACTTTGTGTCTTAAACTTACCCGCTACTGTCTTTGCTCACTTTGCCTTTAATTCACGCAGTACTATCTTTCCCACTTTATGACTTCAATTCACTCAGCACTATCTCTTCCCACTTTACGTATTCAAGTCACCCAGTACTATCTCTTCCTACTTAATGTCTTTAATTCACCCAGTACTATCTTCCCCACTTTATATCTTCAATTCACACAATACTATCTTGCCCACTATGACTTCAATTCACACAATACTATCTTGCCCACTATGTCTTCAATTCACACAATACTATCTTGCCCACTATGTCTTCAATTCACACAATACTATATTGCCCACTATGTCTTCAATTCACACAATACTATCTTGCCCACTATGTCTTCAATTCACACAATACTATATTGCCCACTATGTCTTCAATTCACCCAGTACTATCTTGCCCACTATGTCTTCAATTCACCCAATACTATCTTGCCCACTATGTCTTCAATTCACCCAGTACTATCACTTCCCACCATTCACTCAGCACTGTCTTAACCACTGTATGTCTTAAACTCACCTGGTACTTTCTTTGCCCACTCAATAATGTAACGAAGCTCTAAATACCCATAATGCATCAGCTCAGTAACAGATATTGCTTCGTTCCTGTCTGTGGAGTCTAAGAAAAAAAAATCAAAGAACTTCACATTTTCAAGGCGAGAGGTTTAATATAATTTCTCCTAGTTTTATCCAATATGGCTTAGTCTGTCTCTGCAAAACAGTTGCTTGTCTGACAAGTATGTTACACAAAGCACAAATCTCCATAGCTCCAGTGACAACACCAGGGATTCATGAAATTCCAGCACTTGTGCAGATCGCGAGAAGAATTAAAAATACTCTTTCCCGCCCCATCTAGTTTCAAATAATCCTAAAATACCCATCCTATAATGTTTAATTTCCCCTAAAACTTCCACTGTTCTTCCTACATCGTACAAAGTTCTAACATTCCAGGAGCCAATTCTGGATATTTACCTAAAATATTAATCCTATAATGTAAATATTTATCCAATAATGTTTCATTTCCCTTAATACCTCTAATGTTTGTTCTACATTGTATTAATTTCTAACATTCAAGGTGCCAATACTGGATATTTACCGAAAATATTAATCCTATAATGTAAATATTTATACAATAATGTTTGTTCTACATTGCATTAATTTCTAACATTCAAGGTGCCAATACTGGAGATGTTACTAGGTTAAAGGAGGAACGTCGACGATCCAGGCTCCATTCAACTTTCTCGGAACCGTGTAATTTTTCTTCTATAAGAAGAGCCTCCCCTTAACTTGGTTGGCCGGGTTTTTCTTGTTTCTCTTTCTGACTTTTCCATAGTTGGTTGGTTTTTGTGGCTTATATTTTTACAGGATGAGGTAGCCAACCCCAAGCCCAACACTACCCTTAGTGGCCTCTGAGGGCATGCCTGGTAGGGTGCAGTGTTGCTATTCTTTGCTTCCCGTGAGGCCCCCTAACACACAGGCGATTTGAATATACATTATATATATATATATATACATACACACACACATATGTAATGTACCAACATAAGATCATAGTAGGACAAATAAAAACATTGCTAAATATTCCCTTGTATACGCACAGGCGTACGTACATACATGCATGCATTCATTTATATATATGTACATCTGTGTGAGTGGAACAAAATACATACATATAAACACCTATATGTATATATGAACATAAAACATTCATATACATGCATACACACAGAGATAAGAAGATTAGCAGTAAAAAGTAGATGTAAACATTATCATACACACGTACAAATGCATGCACGTATGCACAGTTGTGTAAATTTTTTTATATATAAATCAATGCAAAAGAGGTGGACGATAAAAACTTCCTCAAAGTCAGAGTGCTTCAACCTGAGAGACGAGGAACCAGCAGTCTGCTTACAAATAAGCTAGACGTGTAAAATGGATAGGCATGCACAACTCAAGTTCAAGCTGAAACACCACCACTTCATGATTAACAAATGGACTTGAGACAAGAAGAAGACTGACAAGAACTGACTTTCAGCTTTGGGGTAGAGATGAGGTTTAGCAGCCAGCAAGCTGTCTCGGAGAGGGTCCAAGGTGGTCCTGTCTGTGTCTGTCTGAGGAGGGGGTGAAGTCTCTCCATCGGAGGGGGACACCAGCCCTGGGTCATCCAAGCGGGGTCGCTTGTGTCTGTGTTTACCTCCTGGAGACCTGTCTTCCCTCACAGCTGTTGGGAATAAATAAAACAGCAAAGTCAAATGAAGAGCTATTGAATACAGTCAACAGCACTGAGCCAAAATCACCTAAGTGGTAAATCCTCGTTTCAAGAACATCACGTTTTGCTGTCCAGTTGTAAAAGAAAACAGTTGTGGGGTGAGAATGCTTCATTCTGACTTATCTGGAGTAAGAATTCCCAAGTGTGCCTATAGCACCAGGAATATGAGGCTAGAGTCATATTTTTATAGACTAAACGTCCATCCTTTGGGGATGTGGTCAATATTATGCTGGACACCTTAACCTTCCATAACTATGAATGGTACCTTCTTCTTCTCGAGTTCACAAGCTGTAAACTCTGAAACTCTGGTGGAAAGTTTTGGTTATTCGTCCACTTTTGGACTGCAGTCCTGTTTCAGAACTTGAGTGTTGCGCATACATGCGTTTGACGAATCTGACTAATTTGTATGCAGACTGTTGGTTTCTTGCCTCTCAGGCAGATGCACTTCGACTTTGAAGGAAGCTCCCCATTTGTCGACTCTTACGACAAGCTTTTGGGTAGGCAGTGGGTCCATTCTCGTTTTCCCTATAACAGGGCCCCGGAACACAAGCGGTGCCCGGGGGAGCCACGACCTCTTCACAGGGGCGCCACGAAATACTGTAAAAGCTTCATAATTAATTTAACCACGACAAGAATAGTCATACTTTTACTCAGGTTAGGGCGCTGTGGAAAAATGTTAATTGAAAAATGGCCCCACGACCAAGAAAGGTTTGGAAAACATTGCTTTAGACTAAACTTTCAAAATTCAGTCTTCTAGAGACATCTCCAAACAACAATATATAACACAGCCCATAAAAACAGCTAGAGTTGTCTTATGCCCACCTAAACAGCCACCCCATTCCATCTTATCCCCACAACAACAGCTGTATCATCTAACCTTATCCCAACAACCCCATCATCTCACCTCATATCCAAAACTGACTTACTGTCCCACTGGATGCCCAAAACAACAACATTACCATTTCACCTCATGGCAACAACAACAGCCTTAACATCTCACCTTATGCCCACAACAGCCTTACCATCCTACCTCATGCCCAACAACCAACAGCTTACCATTTGGCTCATGCCCACAATAGCCTTTCCATCTTACCTCATGCCCACAACAATAGCCTTACCATATCTCCTCATGCCCACAACAGCCTCATTATCTCACCTCATGCTTACAGAAACAGCCTTACCATCTCGCCTTATGCCCACAACAGCCTTACCATCTCGCCTCATGCCCACAACAGCCTTACCATCTCCCCTTATGCCTACAACAAACAGCCTTACCATCTCGCCTCATGCCCACAACAACCTTACCATCTCGCCTCATGCCCACAACAACAACAGGAGATTTACCATCTCGCCTCATGCCCACAACAACAACAAGAGATTTATCATCTCGCCTCATGCCCACAACAACAACAAGAGACTTACCATCTCGCCTCATGCCCATACTGAGGCACTTCTGGAAGCGACAAAACTGGCAAGAGTTCCTGGAGAACTTGTTGATGTAACACATGGCCTGCTCCTTACAGCAGTACTGCAGGTTCTTCTGCACAGAACGCTTGAAGAAGCCTTTACAGCCCTCACAGGAATACACAGAGTAATGATAACCAGAAGCTTTGTCTCCACAGATTAGGCAGGCTCCCATACTGTTCTCTCTGTAAGGATGTTTAAGTGAGTGGTTAGCTGCTGTCTGTGGTAAGGACAGTTTACATATGAATGAACATTTGTAAGGGCGGAGGGGGCTGGGGGCCGCAAAGTTTTACAGTGGCCTCTACAGTTCAAATGTGTTATGGATATTTTGTGACAGGCCTCACTGCAAAGCTGAATGATTTTATATATTCTTGCTTGTATACTACTCAAATAAAAACATACATAGCTACTGAAAGGGACAGAATTTTGTCATAATTCTGACACTCAAAATCTGTGCAGTTTAATAAGTGTACCTGTTTAAATTGGATACAAGAATACGTAAGCGTTCAATCAATCAACTGACAGTTCTTTTGCATCTTGGTCACAGACAGTTTTTAGGCATACAGGCTTTTCTGTCAACTTAATCAAAATGTGCCATCAGATAACTAAGTGTTTCTTTTCCTGAACAGTATAACTGAATCACTGTTCATTTGTCTCGTATGATGATGATGATGATTACTTTCTAGCTGCAACGTTAATTTTTATGAGTTTATGTTTTGGTAAAACTGACTTGTTCCTCTTCTTGTCTGGCTAGACATTTTTTCATCACACACTCTCACACTGCTGTTTATCGCTCTGATGATTCAAACTGAGTTCTGTTCCTATTTCAAAACAGGCTGGACAACACACCCTAAGGATTCCATGAGACAGGGAACCTTAACATAATAATGGCGCCATTTTTAGACAGACTGCATTCGTGCAGCCTCTCTTCACTTTTTCGGTACCATAAGGTTAATGGGAGATATGTGAAGACAAAACTATGATGAAAAATTGTGAATTAATTACATTCAAAGTGGCAATATACAGAGCCCCAGTGACCATTTTTGTGGAGGCCAGATTTCTTTATATGTTCTGAACAAAATATAAAAAATAGAAAACAGGACAGCTCATTATGTTATGGAGTGAAATCAAAGTGTAAAGCCAAGCTTTGCCTGGGACTGAAACAGTTCAGGACCAATATATAGAGGTGGAGACAGATTTTAGTCAGATCTTTTACAACTCAAAAACAGTCAATATACTGTTTCTGTCTGCATTCATTTCTTAGTTTTCATCCAATTTCGTTTTTTTTTTTAGGATTACAGTCTGTAGGATAAACAACTCAAAGATGAGAATCAAAGAACTACAATCCAGGAAACCCCAGTCAACCGTATAGCTATATACAGCACAGTTATACTGGGGCAACATAACACAGTTATACTGGGGCACCATGAAACAGTTATACTGGGGCACCATGAAACAGTTATACTGTGGCACCATGAAACAGTTATACTGGGGCACCATGAAACAGTTATACTGGGGCACCATGAAACTGTTATACTGGGGCACCATGAAACAGTTATACTGGGGCACCATGAAACAGTTATACTGGGGCACCATGAAACAGTTATACTGGGGCACCATGAAACAGTTATACTGGGGCACCATGAAACAGTTATACTGGGGCACCATGAAACAGTTATACTGAGGCACCATGAAACAGTTATACTGGGGCACCATGAAACAGTTATACTTGGGCACCATGAAAAAATTATACTGGGACACCATGAAACAGTTATACTGGGGCACCATCAAACAGTTATATTGGGGCACCATGAAACAGTTATACTGGGGCACCATGAAACAGTTATACTGGGGCACCATCAAACAGTTATATTGGGGCACCATGAAACAGTTATACTGGGGCACCATGAAACAGTTACACTGGGGCACCATGAAACAGTTATACTGGGGCACCATCAAACAGTTATATTGGGGCACCATGAAACAGTTATACTGGGGCACCATGAAACAGTTATATTGGGGCACCATGAAACAGTTATACTGGGGTACCATGAAACAGTTATACTGGGGCACCATGAAACAGTTATACTGGGGCACCATGAAACAGTTATACTGGGGCACCATCAAACAGTTATACTGGGGCACCATGAAAAAATTATACTGGGACACCATGAAACAGTTATACTGGGGCACCATCAAACAGTTATACTGGGGCACCATGAAACAGTTATACTGGGGCACCATGAAACAGTTATACTGGGGCACCATGAAACAGTTATACTGGGGCACCATGAAACAGTTATACTGGGGCACCATGAAACAGTTATACTGGGGCACCATGAAACAGTTATACTGGGGCACCATGAAACAGTTATACTGGGGCACCATGAAACAGTTATATTAAGGCACCATGAACCAATTATGAGGTAACCTTTAGTATATCCAGAATGGGTGGGTTTTCTTCACTAATCTGCTTAATGTACAACAACAGATGTTGGTGTCTCTGGTTTGGCATAGGTGTTGCAAACACAGTTTATAATTCTGAAACATCTGGTAGAAATCAGCTGCAGGAAATTTGACAGCAGACCCCTGTGCGTTGATTTTTGCAATGGTGTGGAAAGCAAACTGTTCAGTAACGCCAAACTATTAAAGGTTAAACTGTCTAGTAAGACCATAAACAGTCAATACATGCTTGGGGTTGAGTTCACAGACCTGTAAGATAACTCTAAATTATTTTAGCCTCACGAGGTCCTAGCTAATGTCCGACTGAGTTCAGAATGGCAATAATAAACAAATGGATATACTACTTCCAGAGGGGCTAAATATACAACCCTTGCAGAAAATAAATATGTTGTTCTTTAAGTTCTCCACGGCCTGGCCATGGTCACTGAGTGAACAGTATGTGCCGATTCCCCCCCCCCCCCCCCCCCCCCCCAATTTTTTTTTTTTTTGACACATTCCATTTCTGGGGACAACTTTTCTTGAGTTTGCTCTCTCGACTGTTGCAGTCCCCTGCTGACAAGATCTGTCTTCCCAGAGAGTGTGCTGCTGAGATCAAAACACTGCAAAGGCAGTATGCTCGAGACTGCCAAATCTATCTGTCACTATCCCGCCCTGACACAGCACAACCGCAATACATGCTTCTCTTACAAAAAAAAACAAAAACAAACACAGTATCCTGAATTGAAATGCGCATCAGACATAAGTCTATGATAAGGGAACAGAACAATCCGAGAGACATCACAGCCATTGAAAAATAACACATCCGCTTGTCACCATTCTGAAAACGGAAGTCTGAGTTCCCCACTAAACAAAAGATGTCAAAGCATACACAACATGCTGCTGGTACAAGTGAATAATACCTAGTCAGGCACAGTGCATTATTTGGGACAGAAAGAGTTAACAACACTAGCACTTCCCTTACCCGTCAGAGTCCAGGACAGAATCATCTTGTATCTCAATTTTCCTATCTCTGGATGTTGGAGGAGGCATGAGCCTGGAGGAGCCGGTCAGTGATTCCAAAGTGGAGGGTGCAAATGTCATCACATGGCTAATGATGGAGTTGGAGGAGCTTGAATGTAGCTGCTGAGGTAGTGGTGACCCTTGGTCTGTGTCGCCAAAATCCTGGCCAGCAAAAAATCAGTAAATGCCACATGACAGCAAAATTAACTAACTGTATTTTCAAAGGGTCACAAATTGGCCACACAATCCTGTCCTACATCTCACCCTTTCACCTTTCACACAGCAACTGTATTTTATCTGTAAGCTATGTTATGTTCATATAACAACATACATAATATCAATATCAAGTGAAATACTTAAAAGCGTGGATGATATATACATATTTACATGCATTTACAAACACTCGAACATACTTGGTATCCAGCACACACGTGCATACATACATACCTACCAGACATTCACGCATACATAACACACAAACCTTCAGGTGTAGTGAATGGGCATTTGGCAGCAGGTCTATATGTTTATAGTACAACAAGTCATGGGTTAACGTTTGAGTTCTGGAGTCCCCTTTTGGGAGGCAAAAAGCTAGACCCATTGTCCCTTAACAAGCAGGTCAAACTAGGCAGGAGTCAGCTTAAATTGGACGTGTTGGGCCAGAAAGGGCCAACAGTGTAAACTAGCTGCAATCCACAACATAACTTTTTAAGGGCAAACAGACATGAAGATAAATCATGAGCGACTTCTGTTAAGCCGATATCAGGAATAAAACAAGTTGCAGAAGGTGACAGACTAGAACAGCAGTCCTTGTTTGTGCATGTCGGAGCTTCTAAAGAAGACTAAGGGCTAGCCTGCCATAACATTAAGTTTTCAGGTAGCATTTCCTCTTCTCCCCTGCGTGGGTTCTAGAGCTCTGTTATAGGGAAAACAATAAAAGCATGTCGTAAAAGTCGACTAATTTTGAGCTTCCTTCAAAGTCGGAGTGCATCTGCCTGAGAGGCAAGGAACCAGCAGTCTGCATACAAATGAGTCAGATCTGTAAAACGGATGCACACACAACACTCAGGTTTTGGAACAGGACTGTAGTTCAGAAGTGGATGAACAACCAGAACTTTCCGCCAGAGTTTACAGCTGGTGTTCGCGACGAAGAAGAAGAAGATTTCCTCTTCTGAGGATCAGATTAGTATTCTCCCCTCTGGGAAGGTTAGCCTGGCCAACAAATGCCTGCAAAAGCTGGATGTATCGGCCAATAGGTGCATACATCACAGCCAAGCTGTAAATGGGTGTAACACAATTACATCAGCGGATCAATGCAGAAGAAGAAATATTCACCCCAGTCGTTTGTTCAACACCACTGGCACAATGTGAAATATTAGGATGGCTGCCCCACATTCAGCCTTAACAGAGGAAAAGCAGTATCAACAACTGGTATATGGTAAATTTAAAATAAAAAGTAAATGATCCTTTTCCACGCCTTTAGGAGTATAGGGCATACAGGGCTAGACCTATATTTTATAGACCAATTGGAACGAAATGGGTGATGTGGTCAGCATCACGCCGACCACCTTTACTTCGCGGGATTGCACCCGGTACCTACTCAAGGCTGGGTCGACCTGGGAGCCAAGGTCATTTTTTTTTAAAAAGTCCGGCGCCGACTGAAAGCGAACCCACAACCTTCCAATCCACGGCACATGGTAGCCCAGTCAAAATCTGATCAAGACCTTTGTCTACTTTATACTGAGAAATAAGAGGCAATAACATATTCAAATTCATGACAGATTTCATTAACTGTGTTAAAATAAACATTTTATTCACATTAAATCACATGTGAATCTAAGTCAAACTAGTGAGTTTTTTAAATGTATTACTTCTCAAAAACCACAAAATCTTACCTGCATAATAATATAAACATTTTTTCCATTTGCTTGTTCTTCAACAGACTCTGGAAACAAGAATTAACAACAAACATTACCGCTCCAATAGTTTCATCAACATCTGAGAGATTAACAGATATTACATACAAAATAAAGTTGCTTTCTATGCTCAGTATTTTGACACTCTAAAATCTTTTAAGAGAAAGAGAAAAACAAAACCACTTGGTGTGTAGCAAGGATGTTGATTTTAGCCAATAAAAAAAATCCTACATACATATTTTGAAATGTAAGACTCTTTAAGAGTTAAACCTGCAACCCCTTTCCCAAAAGGCCAAGATATTATCCATCATACTACACTACAATAATACAAACAATACCTAACTCACTATACCTGTCTGAGAGTCCAGGTTACTGCCTGAGTTCTCCATTTCTTCTTGAGTATTCTGGAACTCTGCAGATAAAAGTGAAATATTAAATGTTAACAAATCAAAGTAACATGACCACCATGTAGCAGGTCCTTTGCAGAATATATCTCATCACAGTCTGCCTTAATGAAACCCTGTCTCTCACCAAATCTTCCCTAGCTTTCCAACATTTTCAAATCCAGTAAAATTAAGTTTGGCATTCATTTTAACATACATCTGAAAAATTTAGTCTAGTAATTTGTGGGTGCAAGCTTTTAAAAAGCACTTCTAAAATCATACTCTAGCTGTGCGAACATAACATGGTGCCGCAAAATTTTTGTTTTTGTTTTTGCTAACTATGTTGGTTTCAAATATCTTAAACTTCTCCACTGACAGTAAATGCCTAATTGCAATCATAATCCATTTACGTAAGTAAAGAAGTAAAGATCCCTTAACACGCCTTAGGCGCATCGGTCATATGGGAAGAGCATCCCAAATTTTTACAGACCAATCAGCACTAAGTTTGGTAATGTGGTCAGCATTACAAAAGCCATCTTTATTTCCCCAGGACAGCCATCTGGGAACCCATTTTGAGCTGGAGCGACCTGCAACGCCACATACCATGATGAAAATCTACGCAGCCAGCAGTGGATTTCAATCATCCATTTCAGCATTAATGTCTAATTTGTCTTTCAGTTAAACCTGAGTGCAAACCTTTTATTTAACAACTGTATGTGGCGAAGCAATAAAATGTAGAAAATCTACAGGGCAAGATGTTGGCCGTGATTACGGCGATTGGCTGTAAACAATGATGGTGATTTTTATTCAGAACCCCCGTTCAGTTACAATCAATGCATAATTGAACCAATCATTGACTGCAGTTTCTATTTCTGTGTGTGGGGTGGGGGCACAGAACTATTATTAAACAAAGGAAATTGCAATAATAATAATAATTCCACAACTAGCCAACAATAAAGGGAAACAATCATACAAGGGAAGTAGCCACTGAAGTATTTAAAAGATACTACTTAACTCTTTGAATCCAAGGAGGTTTAGCATCACAGGCCCAAGGGATAGTAAAGAGAGACTAAAATCGACACATCATGCGTTCATTGGGCTTCTAGGTAAGAACCAATGAACGTATGATGCGTTCCCTGGGACTCAAAGAGTTAATGGATTTAAAAGCGAGTAAACAAATTAAACCTTGGTTTATCTGGGTAAAGATTTAACAACATAGAATGAAGAGCTTCGTCTCCCTCCTTAACAGACAGCAAAAAAGTTTTCTTACTGATGGTACACATTGTCATCTGGTTAACTATTCGTTCGTCTTGCCTTCCTTCTGAGCCCAGTGTCATTTGAAATCTAGTCATCTCCTTGTGAGATGCAATTTTTCATTATTTAAAGCCCTACTCTGGCTCTTGCCAGGGGCCGCAATATAGCCTGACCATAAATATGGTCTAACGGCTGAACGCGGTTTCTAGGACCTCTCCACTGTGATCCTTATCATCATGGTGGCACTTTGCGTCATCAGGTGTTTATTGCTTGTGTGATGTTCTAGTGGGGTAAAAATCTACTACTACTAGTGCCATTCCTCGTTGTACCCTTCTTTCAAGGTAGGAACATTTTCTTATCTTCCATTTCACTTGTTACCCTGTCCCAAAGGTCTGAAGTTCACGAATTCAATTTTTACGGAGATCCCTGCGGATCATCGCTGGAGCTATGGAGATTGTGCTCTGCCCGATGCTCTCGGCAGGCAGTCAGCTGTTTTGCATAGAGAGACTGAGCCACATAGGATAAAATCTAGTGCAATGCAGTCAATACTCTAAAAACAAACATACAAAAAGTTGCAGTACACTTCAAAATGGGACCTTTCCAGCCAGCCTACCAGTCTGCTCTTTCCTAAACATACCTGAATAGCACGGGGTAAATATCAATGTTTCTCTCACCCCCTGAAAGCTTTTGATTTATATAATTAAACAAACAAAACCTAACTCCGCTTTCCTGAGCATGCTTTGCGAATCTGACAATATGACAACATGTGTAGCTGAGATTTTTTTCCGCTTATTCCCCCCCCCCCCCCCCCCCCCCACCTTTCCACATCCAACCAATCATTCTGTAAGGGGCATTAGAGCCTCCCTTTACCCATGAATAGAAATTATTGTTTAAAATATTTGTTTAAAGATTTATTATTTCAATTATATTACTACATTTATTTTATTGGCTGTCGCTGTTAATAACACAATGATTTTTTGGTTGCTATGGTGTTTGATACAAAGGGGAGGAATATAATATGAAAATAAACACTACGAAGACGGAGACAATGATGATAGGAAGACATAAAGACAATGTAGAAACTAAATTAAAAAACAACACCCTAAGACAGAGGAATTTAAGTATTTGGGAGCAATTTTTACATCCAACGGAAAACTGGACAGAGAAATTAGCTCCAGATGTGCCAAAGTTATTCAAGTATTGGGTCAACTATCTCCCCTGTTGACACACAAGCAGATACCTTGGAGTACTAAAGTGAATCTTATCATAACTATTTTTTGGCCAACACTATGCTATCAATGCCAAACATGAACGTAAAATTGTGACAACAGAGATGAAATGCTGCAGGAGTTTCAAGGAAAGACAGAATAGGAAATCATGAAATCAGACGAATGCTAGGAATAAAGCCAGTCTTACAGGTCATCAAAGAACAACAAATGACGTGATCTGGACACCTAACAAGAATGCCCTGGTTCTATCCGCCACAGCGAGTCATACTTAAACGTTACAACGGGTATAGAGCGAGTGGAAGACCTCGGAAAATTTGGAGTGATGGCATTAAGAACAGCCTTACAGAAATGAACATCAGTCTTAATAGTGCTCTTGACAGAGCTCATCAACGAACATTAAATCTCCCCCCGACACTTCAATGAGATACAAGGTAGAAGAGAAGAAGAAGAAGAAGAAGATGGTGTTTGATCATAAACAAATTACATATATCAAGTATTTGGACACACAATGTGAATGTGCTAAAAAGTATTTTCCCCTTTGTTCATAATGTTTATATAATTGACCTTAAAAAAATTAATACTGCGAGGAGTTACAAGGGGATCTGGCTGACGCTTGACACTCAGGGGAAAGGCAAGACAGATACACAATCAGTTACTGGTACCATTGGAATGTTAACTCTTTGCTTGCTGCTGAAAATGGGGATGGAGAGCTTTTGGGGGTGTCCAGAGTGCTGTGCTGTCGATTCTTAATTCAACATTCAATAACAACAAAAAATAATATCTCAGCCTACGACTGACATACAGACTTGAACGAGATACTGTTGGATCGCATTTTTCAATACCTATATTATCCAACTAAGATTGTTGCATTATTTAAAAATTCTGAAAATGTTTGACTATTAATATTTATCAGAAGTTGAAACCAGAAAGATACATTGTTAGATATATGCTTCTTTACGCTTTTCAATATACATGGTCAAAATTGTGTTTAAATGTGCAGAACTGTCCAGCCAAAATATGATTTCCGCCTACATAACTTTCCGTTTCGTATGGTAATTCATTGCAAACTTGCAATTGTGGTTTAGACACTTATGTGTTAACTGTTTTGTCGCCTGTCATCTTTGAACTGTGCTTACAATAAAATATGATAATCAGATCACATCTAAATAGATCCCAAGTGTACACTTAACATTCTACTGTGACATTCCTGATGAGGATTTCGCTGATTTAATTCGTCATGTTGTGAATTTTAACACATTGTATTGTGGCCTCTTTACTGAGTTCAGAGTAGGCTGTAGAGTACACACTACAAACCGTTCCATATTTTACATAATATTACAACCTAGACGGTTTGCTTAGATTTCTAATAAACTACCCTGATTGCTATGAAATGTTTTTGAAAAGATGAGAATGTACAAACTTACTGAGATATCTTGAATATTATCTGCCTGTGTATCGTCTGAAACAAACAGGAAGTTGTTGCTGGACGGTCAAGGTTACAATGCTGGCGGGAGACTTTCTTATTTCAGATGGTTAGATAGTCGACATAGTGACTGTTAGAAGTAGTAGTAGTAATTTTTCTAAAGTATCCTGTTCAACCGTCAGGGTTATAGTTTAAATATTTAGAGTTAATTAAGTTCTTATAGTATAAGTATGTTAAATGTATACAACATGTAATTACCCATATGACCAAAATATAATGTATATAGTTTCATAATATGAAACTTTCATATTGTGCTTTGATTTGGGTTGTAATTATGATAGATATTATTATTGTACTTTAATAATAAGAAACTGACTATGAATATTTAGATAATCGTGATAGTCTTGTGTCATTATCATGGTGTATATATTGTTTGCTTAGTGTGCAATCACAGATTATTCTACACGATTTTATTTTTAGGTGAAACTTCTTTAAAGATGTGATGGACTTTCTTTTTCCTTCTATATATGGATTTCAGTCCTTATAAATTGCTTGACCTAGCCATTTAGCTTTCTGGGAATGTCTATGTGCAGTAAGTTTTGCATCGTCTTACGTAATTTACGTAATTCATGTAGTCAGTTAATGGTAGAACTATCTACGTAGAACTATCATCAGGGAAGGCTCGCTCATGGGCAACTCAAACATCCAAGACCTACAACAGATTGCAACGAACCGCCATGCATGGAGAGTCATGACCTCTGCCCTATGTGCCGCACTCGACACAAGAGGAAAGACTAACTAACTAACTAACTAACTAGTTAATGGTTTCCTTTGGTTTTCATATTTTCTACACTCCAGCAAATTGTGCCCTATATTATTGTATTTCTGGCATACATTACATGTCTCTTCCTGTAAAGTAAAGCAAGACCATCCAAGTTTTAGTCTAAGCCAGTGTTTCCCAAACTTTTCTTAGGCGCGGCACCTTTTTTTTCAAGTAAAGTTTTTCCACGGCGCCCTAACCTAAGTAAAAGCATGACTATTCGTATACAAGAGATACACACACAAAAATACAACTCGTGTATCTTCGAATATTTCTCGGC